TGCCATCCTAAGAATGAATCCTTTAAGACATAGCCCTTTGGGGGACTCCCAAACTAATAGCTAAACCATCGCATCTGCCAATTCTGGGTATCCATTATTTCTCCATTTATAAGAATCACATATTTCAGCCCTAGAAGGAAGAGAGTTAGGCCAGTCTCCAGCCAGTCCTCTCTTTGCTGATCCCACTGCTCAAAAGAGGGGTGAGAAAGATTGTATGGGATTCCATCAGTGCCAAGAAATGCTTACATATCTGCAGGAAAGGATAATTTCTGGTTCCGAGTATGAAACAAATATAAAATTCTCTCTCAATTTTTCTATTCATGCAAGTAAACACTGCTTATTTTCATAAAAAAACTGGGAGAAGTCCAAGTGTGAATAAACCCTGACCCACACCATAGCCTAGTAGTTATTCACGTTTTAATACTCACTGCCCTGGGAATTGTAGTTTTAGGGGGATACTTAGCATTGCTGCACAGACAGATGTCTTTTTGCTAGTTCAAAACTAGTTGATGAGTTCATACCTCTTACAACATTGCATCCACAAAATGTTTAATGGAAAAACCAGATTTGAGAACTGCTAAATATTATATGCCTTTCTTGAATATTAATAGGGCAGAATCACCTATTAAAGGCTTGGACATGACCTCAGTAAATATACCTGCTTAACTTTGTTTTAACTCAGTAGTCCCTGAAGTTTATTTGACTCCAAATCGAGATTGCATAACAGTCATTAACATTCTGTGAAGCACATTTTTGGTTTAAAATGAGATGTTAATGATGAAGGGAGATCAAGAGGGAGATGCTGCTCATGGATTGCTTTTTGATTCAGAAGGGGGAGTGTGGAGAGTGAGTGAGCATTTCCATCCTGTAGTTATCTTCCAAGTGGGAGTTTTCTCAAAAATCAGATATTAGCATGTGGGGAGGAAGCGAGGGACCAGCAGGAGCTTCTGACCTACTGGGAAGAGCGGTTCGTTTCTCCATGCATTATTAAATAGCACAATGTCCTCCCTAGAATCTTCTGTTCCTTGCTATCACTCAAGGGACAGACCTTTGATAAAATTAAGTAGGATATTAACTCTGAAGTACATTGGGAAGATAAAGTGTCCTAATAAATCATTTCAACTTTTAAGATATGGGCACTGAAGTGGTGCTCTTGACACACAGAGACACACTACTGCAAAGCAGCAGCAAACAGCCATGCAAAGACCACTCATGACTTGCCACAAGGTTGCCAGGCTCTAGCAGTAGGGCAAAGGGGCAGGGTGGTATATGCACCTGGCCCTCAGCCACCGGAGGAAATCTCATTTTGAGGGTCTGTTGGCCCTGGAATTAAAAGGGGATGGAGCCTTTGTGGTTGGGCAGGCCTCTTCTTTATTTGGAGGGGAGATTTCCTTTGCATCCCAGCGCTCATAGAGAGCAGCTCTATGCAGCGCTACTCAGGGCTCTGACAAAAAAAAAAAAAAGCTTCAGGTTTTCCAGGGTTTTTGTCCAGGAGAGAAAGAGCCCTCCCTTTATTGCGAATCCAGGACAGCTACAGCTTGCTGCCTGGGTGTTTATAAGGGGAACAATATTTTCTTTAGGGAAATAAAAAGGAGAAGTTGAGTTTGGTGAATTGGAAGCAGAGACGGCTCCTTGCAGCTCCTCTCCATGGGAACACGGGCGCTAGCATCAGTGATGCCTTTGTGATGGTGCCTGGGGATTAAGCAGGCTAAGAGGAGGTGTTGTGTGCATTTTCCACTAAGTTCTCCATGTTCCTTTTTTCTCAGAATTACTTGCCACTATTATTCTGCCTGACTTGGCTCCGGGTGCCCGTTCAGTCTGGTTGCCTTCGCTCCAGTGTCTGTCCACTGAAGTCTCACCCACTGTTTCAGGCCTTATTCAGACTTCCTCCCTGGAATCTTCTGTTCCTTGCTATCACTCAAGGGACAGACCTTTGATAAAATTAAGTAGGATATTAACTCTGAAGTACATTGGGAAGATAAAGTGCCCCAATAAATCATTTCAACTTTTTAAGAAATGGACACTTGGAGGGATCCTTGTGGACTCCTTTATCTGCATAGCACCCACTTTCTCTCCATCCCCTTTCCTTGTTTGATTTCTCTCCATAGCATTTACTTGCCCTATTCAGTCTCTGAGAAGAAGTTCTGATTGCCTCTGGGCAAGAAAGACTTCTCCTCTCAGGCCTGTCTGGACTTTCAGGAAGCATTCTTCACATTTTCATTTGCCCTGGTGGGGAGTCAATGCTGTTTCTAGGTTCACATTGTGAATCCCATGAAGATGGGATTGGATTCTGAATCCTGCCAGCTAACCTCTGCCATAGGACTGGGCACACGGCTCGTGGTCACTTGTGCCTCAACAACCACACAAGATTGCATTGGAGCTGCCCAAAATCCTCACTTGCATGTTTGTCCTCCCAATTGTGTCTCCTGTCCTGTTTCCTTATGTGGTGTTTCTCGAACACCTGTCATTCTCCTGTCACTCTCTGTGGGGAGCAACCCGGACTAGACTAAGTTACTGGAATTAAGACTTATTCTATGCATCTGCTCTCCCACAATATGGCGCTGAGAAGGGAGTAACAACTTCTACCCAGCTGCCTCCAGTTCAACCAATAAACAGCAGGACCTGCTCCTGATTGGAGGAGAGCAGCGTACTTGGCGTGTGGGTAGCAGAGTTGGGATTGGTGGAAGAGGACTATAAAGGAGGAGAGAGACAACATGCACGAGGAACATCTAAGGGGAACATCTATCTGAAGGAACACCTGTGCAGCCCCCGAGAGAGCCGGCTGGCGGTATGCCGCTCCCCCGCGGAAGTGGGGAAAGTGGCTAGGGGGCCCGCCCCTCCACGGAGGTGGAGGGACGGCAGCCAACCCGGGAAGAACCAGCAGCAAACCCGGGGAGGGCCGAGCAGACGAACGAACAGCGCAGGGTCCTGTGTCGTTCCTCCACGAAGACGGGGAGCGACACTCTCCTTAGCGATGTCACAACTGCACACCACTTATACTTCTAGTAACATCTTGCTTGAGATAGATGCTCCTATTCTTTCCTGGTTAAAATTTTTATTTATTTTAAAGGCAGAGAGACAGTCAAAGAAAGATCTTCCATTTGTTGGTTGACTCCCCAAATGTTTACAATAGCCAGAGCCATGCCAGGCGAAAGCCAGAACTCAGTCTGAGTCTCCCATTTAGGGGTGGCAGGGCCTAGCACTTGCTGACTCCCAGGGTGTGCATTCGTATGGAGTGGGAATTGAAAATGGAGCTGTGACTCAAATTCGGGCACTCTGATATGGAATGTGGCTGTCCCAAGTATCACCTTAACTACTGGGCCAAATGCCCCTTCCAGATTCCCATTTTTCTTATGTGAAGTCATTTAAAAAGCAGACTGTTGGGGCTGGTGCTGTGGCACAGTGGGTTAATGCCCTGGCCTGAAGCGCCAGCATCTTGTATGGGTGCTGGTTTGAGACCTGGCTGCTCCACTTCCAATCCAGCTCTCTGCTGTGGCCTGGGAAATAGAAGATGGCCCAAGTCCTTGGAGCCCTGCACCCACATGGGAGACCCAGAAGAAGCTCCTGGCTTTAGATCAGCGCAGCTTTGGCCACTGGGGCTATCTGGGGAGTGAACCAGCGAATGGAAGATCTCACTCTCTATCTCTCTCTGCCTCTCCTCTCTCTGTGTAACTCTGACTTTCAAATGAATAAATAGATCTTTTATAAAAAAAAAAAAAAGCAGACTGTTTATCTCTACTATAAACATAAACCTAGTGCCACTGCCTTTAAATAAACACCTTAATAGAAGGGGAATGAAACATGATGTTTATTCATTGAATAAGTATTTACTAAACAACTAGTCTATACTAGGCAATTTGCTATGCTCTAGTTATATAGGAATGAACAAGAAAGAAAGGATCTGAGCTCTCTTTGGGCTTATCCTCTGTTAGAGGAAACAGCTAAACTATAAAGGTATAATAAATGCAATAGGGATAAATGAAACAAGGAAAAGGGATGGAGAGAAAGTGGGTGCTATTTAAATAAAGGAGTCCAGAAGGACCCCTCCAAGGAAGTGATATTGGCATGGAGATCAGAGGAACAAACCCTGTGACCCTCTGGAGGCAGAAGCCCAGAGGCCCAGGAAACAACAGGTGGTGGATCTGAGAAGGAAATACGGCTTGAGGATTCTCAGGACCTGGAAGGAGGTGAGCATGGCTGGATCAGGCTGAGTGCGGGGAGGAGCTCTAGGAAGTGAGGCAGGAGACAGAAGCAAGAACAAGAGCACAGAGGCACTGAGTCTGAGTTGACCCCTAAAAGGGACTGGCCAGTATGCTACTGCTGTTTGGGAAATGATACCATTGGTTAAATGAAGATCTCAGTGAAGTCCCTCTTTGGCCTTTTTGTAAGTAAAATTAATTGACTTGGAAAGAAGAGAGAGAGAGAGAGAGAGAGAGAGAGAGAGACAGAGAGACAGAGAGAGAGAGAGCATGCGCATTCTTTCCTCTGCTGGTTTACTCCCCAAATGCCCATGATCCATGGGGCTGGGCCAGGCCAAAGCCAGGCAAATGGACCTCAATTTGAATCTCCCTTGTAGGTGGCAGGGAGCCAGACATTTCAGCCATCACCTATTGATTTCCAGGGTGCATACCAGCAGAAATGTGGAATCATGGAATCAGGAGTGGAGCCAGGACTCCAACCTAGGCACTGTGATATGGGATGGGGTGTCCTAAGTGATATCTTAACCATGGAGCCAAATGCCCACATCTCTTCTTTAGCCTTTTAATTAGAACGTCTTCCCTAACTCAGGTTCAAACCCTGCCAGCAAGCAGGCTTGTCTTCAAGATATGGTAGAATTTCTGGGTATATAAAGTGTTCAGTGCCAAATTTCCTGTTTGCTTCTCTAATTGGTGACCCCTATTGTAGTGTACCTGGTGTCAAGTTGACAGGTCTTAATCCCTAGAGGAATGAAGGGAGCATGTATTGCTACTGACTCCCAGTTTTTTCTCTCCTGGTTTTAGATCTGTCTAATCCATGACTCCCACCTCAGACTCAGCTCACTCTACTAGAGCAAGCAGGGGATAGAATATGATCTGCCAAGGAAATGTCCCTCTCTTCATCCTAAACCACTTGTTCCTTGCCAGGCTGTGCACTGGGAGCACCTGTGGAGCTCTGGAAGCTGACTGCAACACCCAGGCCCCACTTGAGGAGATGTTGGCTTGCTTGGTCCAGGTAAGGCCTGGCATCTGGGTTTCTACAGTTCTACAGGTGATTCTAATGCAAGCAAGGCTGAGAGCCATTGCTTGAAGGGAACCCAACATTTTTACAGGAGGAGAAATTAGGAGTTTCAATTTTGCAAGATCACATACAAACAGGTATGTTGATGTGATATATATAGGTTGGTGGGCATGGAATAGGCCATGCTGGAGGTGAGGTACACAAATCCTTGCACTGAGAGGGGGAACCACTATTTTGGTTCTCCTTGTCTCTTGCCATTGTGTATTCCAAGTTCACATAGTGGTCTTCTGTATCTATTTTATCAGATCTACCTGTGGTCACATAGACACAGCTTTCAGGTTGGAATCTGGGAGAAATTTAAGTTTCTATTTTCGAAGATTCCAATGCTAGCTACTTTTCCTGTACATGACACAGCTCCAGTCTATATTAGTGACACAGGGAGCTAAGGATGAGTTGGCTTTCTCTCTCTTTTTTTCCATTCTGATGGATTTTTGACCTCCATATCAGGAAGTTGCTAAAAGGCAGAAGAAACAAGATAGCATTGGATACTGACATTTAAAAGGCTTATGACAAACTTTCTTAAGCAGCAGCTGCTTTGGTTATTCTGAATGAGACTTGAAAAGCTTTGGAAGTGAAAAGGAAGGTGTTGTGGTTTGGATTAAGTTTGAGTGTCCCCCCAAAAGGCCCAAGTGTTTAAGACTTGCTCCCCAAAATCTTAGGTTAGTAGATAAATGTTAATGGATTAAGGGTGGAAACTTAATACAATTATGATGTCTAAAGTAAAGCCTTTGGGAAGTGGTTACATTGGATTAGGTTATTTGGGCAGAGCTACTGAATGAATCATGGTTGGTTTACATGGTGAGACTACCTAGACATGGACTACGAGTGTTTTCCCTGTCTTTCGCCACTTCCTTTTTCTCCACGTGATTGCTTCTCTGCATATGTTGCACCCTTGCCACCCTCCAGCCCCACCAGAGGGCTGAACCAATGAGGCCCACTTGATCTTGGACTGTGAACCTGCAAAACTGTAAACCTCCTTCCTTCCTAAGTGACATCTCTTAGGTATTTGGTTGTAGTAATGAAAAGTTGCCTAATACCGATGGCCTGCAGGTTGAAGGCCACATTCCTCAAGTCTGAGGATGGCTCTCTGAACCTGCTACTCAAAGGTGGGCTAGAAAGGTATAAAGGATGATAGGGTGATGATCATCAATGCACAACTTGACAGTCTGTGTTTTGGAATCTTAGGAGACAAAGATGAAGCCTATAATGCTAACTTCAAAAGCACTGCCAATTATTCTAAGTATGTGATGACACTGTCTGTGTCATCCCACCCCCTGATCTTGCCAAACTTTGTCCTTAGTAACTATGCTAAAAGATAGTGACCCAGGGGCTATGGCAGCACATTCCCCATACTCACTCCATATGCTGATTTTTTAAAGAAGATATATTGATTTGAAATGCAGAGTTAGAGAAAGGGAGAAAGAGATCTTCCATTGACTGATTCACTCCCCAAAGGGCCATAATAGCTCAGGACGTACCAGGCCAGAGGCAGGAACCTGGTCTCTAACATGGCTGGCAGAGGCCCAAGCTCTCGGGCCACCCTCTTCAGCTTTCACAGGCACATTAGCAGGGACTCAAAATGTCACTCAGATAAGATGTTGGCATTGTAGGTGGCAGCTTAACCTGCTGTGCTACAACAGCAGCACCTCATTCTATATTCTAAATCATTTACTTCTCTTTCCAGAATTACAGGTTGTTTGAGCTGGGAGATTTGAGAAATCACGCAGTACCTTACTTTTCAAATTTAAGTGTTGAGATGATTTCTCAGTGGTATTCTTCTACCTTTTGTTTTTTGTATTAATTTTTTACTGACAGGGAATAATAATTACTTTTCACTTACAAAAGTGATATGAAACTTCCTTCCACAGTGAATTAAGTTCAAAATAAGATAGTTTTTATCGATATGAAGTACATATCAAGAAGGCAAGGTGCATAAGGATATGCTAAATTAGGGATGTGAGAGAAGATGGACAGTTGTATAGGAGTGTAGCCCTGCACCAATCTCTCATTTGACAGCTGAGGGACCTGAAAGTGACACTGCCCAGTATGAGGCACATTCCTGCTCATGCCTTTTCTCCTGGTTTTTCACTCTACGTGCTGTCCCTCTAAGAGGACCATAAAGCAGCTAACAGTCCATTACAGACTGACCTGAGATCATAGTGAGCAGATGTATGCACATCTCCCATATATATGTGTTATTAGCATTTTTCTTTTTATTCTCAGACTCTCTGCTACATGCAAAACAAGCAAGCACCAGCTCTGACAAAGGGCCTCCTCTCTGCAGGGCAGGCCACCCCAGAAAGCATCACGCTGAACACCAGGCAGAGCTGACCCAGGCAGACTGTCACTGGCCCCAGCCAGGGCTCTGGCAGTTACTGCCTTCTGTGGTTGGGGGCAAAAGAAAACAGTAGTTTCTGGTATTTGGGGAGGGGGCAGGAAGGGAGAGGAGGGAGGGAAGAGATAGAGAGAATGAACTAACAGGGTCTGTGGTCTCTTGGAGGGATGTGGCCAGCCCTCGGTGACCATGCCTGGAGGACCCAGGAATCGTCCCTTCACTTACTCTTCCCAACTCACAGCTCCTGCCAGTGCTTCCCATTCACCAGAGACAACAGGAAGCCAGGCAGAAAGGCCTCCTGAGGCACAGTGAAGGGTGTTGCTGGGTGACGAGGTACGTGGAGGGGCCAAAAGCAGGCAGCTAGCATGCTTCCTTCTTCCTTCCGCTTCCTTGGCTCACATGTGGTGTGGTCGGGAAGGTGGGATTTTCACAGTACCGTGCTGTCCTTGGGAGCATGAGTGCAGGCCCCATGTGACTACTGTTTCTCCTGCCTCTCTCTCTCTCTCTTTTTTTTTTTTTTTTTTGACAGGCAGAGTGGACAGTGAGAGAGAGAGACAGAGAGAAAGGTCTTCCTTTGCCGTTGGTTCACCCTCCAATGGCCGCCGCGGCCGGTGTGCTATGGCCGGCGCACCGCGCTGATCCGATGGTAGGAGCCAGGAGCCAGGTACTTATCCTGGTCTCCCAAGGATAATAATCAGCACTTGGGGCATCCTCCACTGCACTCCCGGGCTGAGCCCTCTTCGGTGTCTCTCTTAGAAACTGACTCCAAATCCAAAGCATTACTTTCTAGACTCTTCTGTCAGCCTTCTTTGCCCCAGCCCATAATACATTTTCCCACATAGCTGCTAGAGTTAACTTTTATTTTTTTAAAGATTGATTTATTTCTATGAAAGACACAGCGAGAGAGACGGATAACTTCCATCTACTTGTCCGCTCTCCAAATGGCAGGGCCAGGCTGAAGGAAGGAGTCTGAAGCTTCATTTGGGTCTCCCACATCAGTGCAGGGGCCCAGGCACTTGAGTCATCTTTCATGTCTGTCTCAGGTCATTAGCAGGGAAATGGATCAGAAGTGGAGTAGCTGAGACTCCAACCAATGCCCCCAGGGGATGCCTGTATCACTGGTGGCAACTTAATCTGCTGTATCATCATGCCGGCCCCTAGAGTTATCTTTTAAAATACCTTTCACATAAATAAAAATGAAAATAGGCCGGCGCTGCAGCTCACTTTGCTAATCCTCCGCCTGCGGCGCTGGTACCCTGGGTTCTAGTCCCAGTTGGAGCGTCGGATTCTGTCCCGGTTGCTCCTCTTCCAGTCCAGCTCTCTGCTGTGGCCCGGGAAGGCAGTGGAGGATGGCCCAAGTGCTTGGACCCTGCACCCGCACGGGAGACCAGGAGGAAGCACCTGGCTCCTGGCTTCGGATCGGGGCAGCGTCGGTCGTAGCGGCTATTTGGGGAGTGAACCAATGGAAGGAATATCTTTCTCTCTGTCTCTCTCTCTCTCTAACTCTGCCTGTCAAAATAAATAAATAAATAAATAAATAAATTTTAAGAATAAAAACGAAATGACAGACTCTGGGTTTACATTCAATGATGAAAAACCAGTGAGATGTATTGGAGGAACTGGGAAGGAAGGACAGTGAGAAAAGAAGTGAAAGATGTTCACTGATTCATTCCCTGTTTATTCTTTAGTGAATGAGGGTTTTTTCTTGATTAAAGTGAGTCTCTTTCCTCAGCTCTCTGGAATTCTAATCTTCGTTCCAGATGTGCTCAGCATAGCTAGGATGCCTTCACCCTTCCTGCTCAGCATATCCTAGTCCTCATACTAGTTCTGCATGTATTTCAGGCAGTTCGACTGTTACAGGAAGCTGTTCAGGATCTCTCCAGATGGAAGTAATCTCTTGCCTCTGTAAACCACCACAGCCCATGACCGTCACCTGTCTGGTGGATGTAGCTCTGTTCATCTTTCAGTCTGTCAGTCCCTTTCCCACCGCTGCCCCACTATGTGTAATTTAATTTACTTGGAAGTCCCTTTATTCTTTGCTCAGTGTGAGCCCTGCAGTTTGCAGGAAAGCAGGGCTCACACAATATTTATTGAAGACACAGTTGTGTGCATTCAACTAATTTCCACAAGAACAACATAAAGCAAAAACCCTAAGGACACATGAACCTTGTTCATGCAGCGAACCAAAACACATTGGCTTTCTTGCCTCTGCATGTATTTTTTAATTTTCCATAATGGTCTGTGATCGTTCACTCATCAACTGAAGTAAAACAGTTTAGGGAAAGCCAACTCATATATTGACAAGGAATGATAAGCACAGCCAGAAATGGAGACTACAAGGAAATGAAATGTCATCATTCTAACCTACTTGATCAGGCACTTGGGAGCAGGGTGGAAGATAAGAGCAATAGGTGGAAGAAGAGAAAAAGAGAAGAAAGGAAGATTATTGTTGGCTACAGGGTGGATATGCTAGCTGCCGGTCAGTGGGGAGTAAAAACACATTCTCCAGGGCTAGCTTGGCTACTCCCATGCTTGCGCACTCTTCTAAAAGAGTTACCCTCATAGGGAGGGACCCTACCATTTATTGGTTCTCAAAACCTATCTTATTTAAGCCTACTCCTAACCTGAAGAATGGATAGCATCACGCTACTTTCATAAATGTTGAAACTGACCTACAGTTCTGCAGGCACCAAGGTGTTGTGAGAGAGGGTACTGGCTCTGGAGCTTTGGATGGACTGAGATCTATTTCTGGCTCCCCATGCCCCTCTTATCTGCTGAGCATGTGGCTCATGCTCCTGAGCTTTGTTAGCCAATGGTAATAAATAATTCCTTCTTTGGAAGGTTGTTGTGAGTGTGGGCACTTAGAACAGTGTCAAGGATGCCATCAATGTTAACTGAATAGTTAGAGAGGTTGGGTAACTTGCCCAAGGCTGGCACATGGTAGATCTATGATACGAATTTAGGTGTGTTGAAGAGGAAATGTTAAACAGTGGAGGTCTAAAGCAGTCAGCAGTGTGATTGAAGGGAGAGAAATCACTCTAATTTGACTCTCACATCCACACCAGCATCACTGGATATGCAGATAATTTCCTCAGCTTCTTTTCTGAACAAGCAGACTCCTGGGCTTGGGACACAATGAGATCTCCCCCGAAACAAGGCTATAGGGAAAGGGGTCAAATGTGCACTCTATGGAATATTTGGAATCAAAAATTCAGAAAAATAAAAGCTTGACATGAGTACCATCATCCTGAAAAAAAATCTTACAGATGACAGAAAATTTGTAAAGTGGGGCTGGCACTGTGGTGCAGTGGGTTAAAGCCCCAGCCTGCAGTGCTGGCATCCCATATGGGCGCCAGTTCGCATCCCGGCTGCTCCACTTCCAATCCAGCTTTCTGCTTTACCCTGTGAAGGCAGTAGAAGATGTCCCAAGTGCTTGGGCCCCTGCACCTGTGTGGGAAACCCAGAATAAGCTCCTGGCTTTGGATTGGCACAGCTCTGGCTGTTGTGGTCATTTGGGGAATGAACCAGCGGAATGGAAGGTGTCTCTTTCTCTGGCTCTAAAATGGAAGAAGGTATGTCTCCTGCTAAGTTTCTACTCATCACCCCACTCCTCATCGCCAACTGTTTTAGAGACAAAGGACAAAGGGTATATATCTGATCTGGTTTTGTTGTAGTGTTTGTCACTGTCACTGTCACAGAATCTCCCTAAACTCTGACATATCCTGGATTCATGCTGTATACATGAAATCAGTCTACCCAGAGGTTTCCCTTATGATGTTTAGTCTTCTACCACCACCAACCTTCACCAGGAAATCATTCCATCCAGTATGTGCATTTATGGCATGTTTGTCACACCATGTTATAATTCTTCTTTGCCTATTGGTCTTCCTTTTGACATCATGAGTTCCCAAGGGCAGAAAATGCATCTGATAAATCTCTAGATTTTTGGTCAGGTACACCAACTGGAGCCCTGACATGCTGTGACTTCTCTCCCTTCTGACCTATGGCAGATAAATGAAGGCACATCTTCTGAAGTTGTCTGCCTGTGCTTAGAACCCCCATACAGTATTGTTCCTGACTTCTCTACAGTCCTTGGTATGTAAATAGAAGCACTCTAGTTCACTCTTTGATTTGTGAAACAACTAGTTCTAGCAGTTTCAGAGTTCTTGAGAATTTCAGTCAATAACACACAAAGATCAGTTAGAGGCCACAGTTTATGTTCCTTTTGAGGTGGAATGTTAACTTCCCCCAAGAGCAGGTCTGGCTTTTACAAACAGAGTTTTGCAAGACACCTTACATGACATCCAATATACAACACTATTCAAAGGCTTCATGAATATATATTAAAATTTTAGCTAAAGAGAACTAAGAATACTTTAATACATCAAAGATTTTAATGAAAACAAGAAAAGTTGCTTTCTAATACTTGGAAAGGCAAATGCTCACCAAATTGATGTTAAAAAAGAAGGAAATTTCTGACAGAAGATAAATAGAGCCAAGTTAGATCCCAATCATTCACTGCCTTTGGAACTGTGCTCTGAGAAGATACACTGCATAACAGAGTTACAGAGGGGGAGGAAAGGCCATTGTCTTTGTCTCAGGCAGACATGGGTTTGAATCTAGGCTCTGCTGTGCCTCAGATACTTGAAGGCTTTATTTGCTGAACTACAAAATCCAGGAAAAAATCCCACCTAATTTACAAGGTTGTTAAGAGGATATAATGGCTATCATTCTATAGATACTCATTAAAATTATTTCTTCTTGCTTTAGAATTTTCCTTCCGATGTGGTGTAACACCATAGTGACTGTTTCTGGTGCAGTTCTTTAAACATGAAGAAGAGAATTTGACCCAAATACAGCTGATATGTCAGAGGTACAAGACCTCACTGATTAAAAAGAAGCCCTTGAACATTATTTAGAATCACTCAAACAGTCTGAGCCCAAAAGAAGACCAATCTAGTGTTATCTGCCCAAGATGACCAGAGACAAAGAGAGATTCCCATGGAATGTCCTTTGCATGTGAAAACCAAGACAGGAAGAATGAGTTAGTACAGTCTTTGGGTGTCTTTCTGAATATCAATGCTCATGTTTTGAACTGGCAAATCTAACTTGACACATTTTTCTTGAAAAGCTATTTCTTTTCTTTTCTTTTGACAGGCAGAGTGGAACAGAGTGGACAGTGAGAGAGAGAGAGAGACAGAGAGAAAGGTCTTCCTTTTCCGTTGGTTCACCCTCCAATGGCCACTGCGGCCGGCGCACCACGCTGATCCGAAGCTAGGAGCCAGGTGCTTCTCCTGGTCTCCCATGGGGTGCAGGGCTCAAGCACTTGGGCTATCCTCCACTGCACTCCCTGGCCACAGCAGAGAGCTGGCCTGGAAGAGGGGCACCCGGGACAGAATCCGGCACCCTGACCAGGACTAGAACCGGGTGTGCCGGCGCCACAGGGGGAGGATTAGCCTATTGAGCTGCGGCGCTGGCCGAAAAACTATTTCTTAAAAAGATCATGCCTCTGCATAAAGGATGTTGATTGTAGTGGCATTTATATTCGTCTAATTAATTGCTTAACATGTCATTGATGGGAAATTAACTAATTGTACACCACCCAAGAACTGGTTAAGCAGTTAAGATCTGTCAGTGTAAGAAGGGACATTATAGTTGTGGTGATGCCAGAAAAATGTCAACTAACTGTCCACAATGCATGGCATTCACAATAGAAAACATGATGTGGTTGGCTTTTATTTTTGATGTTAAAAATTAATATGAATATACTTTATATAAATGTACACATACACTCAAAATTTGGAAGGTAGAAACACATGATTTGTCTATTCATCTTTGTGCTTCTCTGAACTAGTCAAATTCTCTATAGTGATTTTGTGTTGGTTTAATAATAACAACAGCAATCAGTAAAAAAAAAATCAGACGCTGATCTTTCACAATACCCATTATCAATGTTTCACCTTCTCTTCTCTTTTCCCAGGACAAATGCACTTGGATATGCCTCCATTTCCATTAACAGGCAACTTGGGGGAAAGAACTCAGCTATACTTCGATTTTTCCACTTAAAGAAAGATGGTTTTCATTATTCATACCCAGCTGACGAGGAGAGAGAAAAGAATAAGCGAGAAGATGCTGCTTGGAGTGAGGGGAGGCTTTAAGGTAATAATTATAACAATTTCACTTAGCACTGGGGCAGCACCTAGCATATTCTAAGCTGTCTCAGACACTGTCTAATTAAGCAAAGGGAGGAGGACAATGACAAGAGTGAGAGATTTAATCTAAGAAGCATGAGGGGGCCTTAAGATACCGAGGAGATGAAAACAACAAAGGGGTGTAGCAAGAGCAGCAGGGTGAGAATTTCAGAGAAAAGTCTGAAATATCATAAGCTCACAGAGGAGGGCCAAAAGCAAAAAATGTAAATTAAGAAGATACAGAAAGGAGGAAAAAGACTGATGGAACTGGGAGAAATGGAGGAAGGGAAAGTTTAACATTATTTAATATTGTTTTTAGAATCTGATGTCATTAACCTATTCAATCATGCTTCGTAAATTTCTGAATGTGGAATAATTCCTGTGACTCTGGAACTCACATAATCCCAGAGGCCTTGAACATTGGGCCTGCCACTCAGAATTACTGGCAACATTAATCTCTGTAAGAGAGAGAATGCATTAAACATACATCACAGATGTTCTTGGGGGAAGCCTTAGAAGGCTGCCAAACTCCTGCCCCCGATCCAATTTAAATGCACTGAGAAAACAAGTAGAGCAGAGGCCATCAAAAGAGCAAGGCTTAGGCACCTTAAGAGGAGGTTATTCAGCAGAAGTTGAGAGAAAAAGCTAAGATAAAGAATGCTAATTTAGGAACCTCCAGTTCTTGGTTGAGCTCATCCTTGGAAACACTGATCAAATCCTGCACTCCATTACTTGCCCCAAATTACCTCATTCTACAAAATATTTTAATTTTTCTCATTTAGTAAGACAATAATATGTTGCCTTGAAGTGCTTCCTATAGCAGAAAGTAGAGAAGTGATATTTGCAATGGGCATGGAAGGATTAGTGCCAATCTGTCTGGATGAGGGAGGAGAATTCCAGGAGAGGTCATGGAAGTAGCCAACATGAAAACCACAGATGGGATGTATTCTCTATGCAAGCTAGTAAATAGGGGGACATTTCTTAGTGTTGCTCCACTTTCTACAACCATCCATGAAATGCTCTGTCCCCTTCACCAGGTTTGAACAGGTGCAGCTGGCCTAGCAATGTGACTTCATGGGTTCAGCTGCTGCTTGGGATACCTGTATCCCATATTGGAGGTCCTGGTTCCAGACCCAGCTACTCTGCAATCCTTATCCAGCTTCCTGCTAGTGCTTCCTGAGTGGCAGCAGATGCTGGCTCAAGTACTTATATCCCTGCCACCCAAGTGAAACACCTGGATGGAGTTCCTAGCTCCTGGCCTTGGTCTCACCCAGCCCTGGCTGTTCAGGGCATTTGGGGTATGAGCCAGCAGATGAAAGATCTCTCTCTGCTTTTCAAATCAATCAATCTTAAAAGAAAAATAAAGATTTATAATGATGCACTGCACATCCTGAAAATAGGCATTGCAATGCTTGCTTCCTCCCCTCCCCGCCCCCCAAAAAACATTCAAACTTGAAATGAAAATCCAGCTACCAAACATAAGTTTTCTGGCCCACTGGTGCTTTGCACCTGTGAGAAGCCAGATAGGGAGTAATCCAAAGTCAGCTCTGGGTTTTGATTATATCTGTATGCCATATTGAAAAACTGAGTGCTCTATAGAACAAAAGGAATCAAAGAAGGAGACACCTAGCTATCTGCTTCAGATATTACTCACTGCATTTCTGATAGTTGACTTGAAACAGTGGTAGAGGGGGAGGTTAGAGTGGGGAAATGACTACCTTAAGCCACTGGAGACAACCCCGGATATGTTATGAATGTTTACGGCAGGGTTTATGAATTAAATATAAATGGCTTAATTTTAGAAGATGTCCTGCTGGCTCCCAGCACTTCCTCATTTGTCATAATTATAATCTACTTTATTTCTCCTTCCTTCCTCTATCCCTTCACTCTTTTTTCTTTCTTTCCTGTATTTTCCTTCCTTCCACTGGAATACCATACAGTTATCAAAATTAAGACAGTTAAGTTACAGAACAAAATACATGTTATAAAGCCACTTTAAAAATCAATAAATAACAAACAGCCTGTGTGTGTAGCACTTTTATCTGCCCCACAAGATCTTTCCTTTGGAAAATTCCCCCTTCCTTTGAAAGTTATGTGATTCCCGGGGAGGGGGATGGCTGTTAAACAAAGTCTCTTGCTCCCCTTCTCCTGCCATAAGGGGTATTCAGATCCAGACAGTGAGGGTTCTGTTTTGCTAACCATGAAGACTGTTGGTTGGAAACTAACACAGGCTAATCAGAATCTTTCCACAGGTTTTGGTTTATTTACATTTTTATTTGACAGGCAGAGAGAGAGAGAGAGAGAGCGCGCGCGCACGCACTCATTTGCTGGTTCTCTCCCTATCTGCCTTCAGTGACCAGTGCTGTGGTAGCAGAAGTAAGGAACTGGGAACTTAATCCAGGTCTCCCAAATGAATTGCATTGACCTACCTATGTCAGCATTGCCTGCCTACTGCTTTGCAGCATCTGCATGAGTGTCGCTCCCCCATTCACGGAGGAACGACACTAGACCCTGCGCTGTTCTTTTGTCTGCTTGGCCCTTCCCGGGTTTGCTGCTGGTCCTTCCTGGGTTGGCTGCCGATCCCTCCGATCCCTCCACCTCTGTGGAGGGGCGGCTCCCCCTGACACTTTCCCCACTTCCGCGGGGGAGCGGCACACCGCCGGCCGGCTCTCTCGGGGGCTGCTCAGATGTTATCCAGATGTTCCCGGTGCATGTTGTCTCTCTCCTCCTTTATAGTCCTCTTCCACCAATCCCAACTCTGCTACCCACACGCCGAGCACGCTGCTCTCCTCCAATCAGGAGCAGCTCCTGCAGTTTATTGGTCGAACTGGAGGCAGCTGCGTAGAAGCTGTTTACTCCTCTCCCAGCGCCATATTGTGGGAGAGCAGATGCATAGAGTAAGTCTTAATTCCAGTAACTTAGTCTAGTCCGAGTTGCTCCCCACACATGAGCAGGAAATTGGAGTCAGGCCAAATACAGGGCATGAGTGTGAGTGTTCCAATCAGCATGTTGCCTGCGAGGTCAGACACCTGTCCCCCAACGGTTTTGAGAGTTTAGATTTTGAAGAGAAAAAGATGTTGCTTTTTGAGCCCTGTATGAGTTTCCTTTGGTTGTTAGAGCAAATTACGACAACCTTAGTAGCTGAAGAACACCAACGAGTTACCTTACAGTTTGGTAGGCCAGAAATGGGCCAGAGGTCTCAAGTGCCAAAAGACTGAGCTCCCTCCCTGAGCATCTGGGGACAATGCATTTCCTTGGCTGTTCCAGCCTCCAGAGGCCACTCATACCCCATGACAATTGGCCCCTTCCTCCATCTTGAAATTCAGCAATAAGTGGCTGTGTCTGTCTCTCATGTTATCTCTTTGACTTTGCTTCCTTTATCCCATCTCTCTGCCTACCTCTAACTCTTCTTCCTCCTGCTTTCATTTCCAAAGCTTCTTTGACTGCTTGGGGGCTCCCCACAAACACAGGACCACCTCTCTATGTTAAGGTCATTTTGTTAACAACTTTAACTCTATTTTATTAACCATCTCAATTCTCTTCTGCCATGTCGAGCAATGTATTTTTGGTTTCTGGAGACGGGGATGTGGACTTCCTCGTGTATGTGTATTGGGGGGATTTTATTATTGTCTTAAGTTTGGAGTTGGGGACCGGAGCTGTGGCTCATTACGTTAATCCTCCACCTGCAGCACTGGGATTCCATATGGGTGCTGATTCCAATCCAGCTCTCTGCTATGGCCTGGGAAAGCAGTGGAAGATGGCCCAAGTCCTTGGGCCCCTGTACCTGCATGGGAGACCCTGAAAAAAGCTCCTGGCTTTAGATAGGTGCAGCTCCGGCAGTTGTAGCCAGCTGGGGAGTGAACCAGCGATGGAAGATCTCTCTGTCTCTGTCTCTGCCTCCCTACCTCTCAAGTAAAATAAATATTTCTTAAAAAGTGAATCCAAGGTTGTACATACCTAACTTCCTGAACACATCAAGAAAAATGAGGTAGAGACATAGAAAACAGATGTGCCAAGAGAGAGGTAGGGAGAGAAACTGCCCTGCTGCAAACCCTGCATCCAGCCATTGCCGACACTAATACACGTCACTTTAATATAAGCCAAAATGTCCTTCCCATTCGTTCAAACAAATTCTGAACTGCAGTTCTCTCATTTGTAACGTAAAAAATCCTAATTACTCACATGTGTATATGTGTCTGCAGATATGTAGTCATATATGTTGACACAGGTCTAGAGAAAAGTAGAAAGAATAGTAGGAAATAGAACTGGGAGGCTTGTACAGGGTAACTTAAATTTCTGACTTAATGTATTTGTATTATTTGACTATTTTTCTATGGGCATGTATTATTTCTATAATATTCAAGAAGATAAAATAAGAGACTACAGCATAAAAACTAAGTTCCCTTAGGGCTCCAAGGTCTAGATGAAAAGCAGAAAACCCATACATTTCTCTGTAACTTGGTGCTTTTAAATAGTATACATATTCACACAAGAGCAAATAATTACAAGTTGCTTCCCAGGCCCTGATAACGTGCTTTCTTCTTCTAGAAAAGCTATTTAGATGGGGCCACGATGATAAAAGGTCCATGTTCAGAGACAAACAAAGGACCTGCTGGCTCATCTTTGTGGGCCCCACATAGGCCTGTCCAGGGCCACACAGCAAGCCCTGAAAGTACAAGTTTGTCCTAGTTCTGCTTTCTTACCTCCTTGGACTATAAATACGCATATCACAGGGATCTAAGTTCAAAGAAAAGCAGCAGAGACAAATGCCTCCATTCCCCTTGGCAAAACAAAGACACAAAAGCAAGCCTCCACTCCAGATGCATTAAAACAGGAGAATAGAGGAATTGTTAAAAAGTCCCAATTAAGAGATCTGAAGAATCCTCTTGCTGGACTGGGCACAGTGGGATGCAGGATGCTGGATCTGAATTCCTCGTCTTCTTTCTTACAAGACCTGCTACACAGAAA